AAATATATAAAAAGCAATAATTATAAGAATGTTTTACAACACATCTCGCGAACGTAACAAAAAGTAAAAGCAAAATAAAATATTAAATAAATGTACATACATATCAAACATAATAAAAACAAAAAAAAAATTATTTTCATAATCCAAACGACTTTTGTGTGAATCTGACTAAAAAACTAAACTAAATTAAAATGAAATACATATGTAAGTCGTCCAATGCGCCTGCGCGGTTTTCTTTGAGTAAAATCTGTCTGAAGTGTGATTGTCATGCTGGCAAACGCGGAAAACTGGGCGGCGTGCATTATTGGCATTTTGTACATATTCGCAACGAAAATCCACGAATATTAAGCAATCGCAAATTCCCTGCTAACTACAACTACAACACAAAAGCCAAAGCACACAACGTCATGCGACCTCGAATGCGGTCACTTGGCCGAGTTTACGATGCAACTAAAAAGCAACAGCATTAAACTATACGTTCAGTAAACTATGTAAATAACTGAGAATAAATAATAAAAAAAATATGAAATTAAATAAAAAATACAAAACAGTACAAAATTCAAAATTAAAAAAAAAAACAATACAAAATTCAAAAAAATCTATATTTTAAATACAGTGAAATAGGTGGACATTGGCGGGACCAGCCTTTCTGTGCGGTAATAGAGTTGTACGCTTAATAGACTGTCCTAAATAAACATCAAAAAATGTTGGGATCGGCCAATTAGCGTCCGTTTGGTAGAGCTTTCACTGTACTCTTGGGAAGAATATTTGAAAGTGATAGCAAGCAAACCTTTTGTATGAGATCCATGCAGTCGAGTATGCCGTCGTGCAATGGTGTGAGTAGCGAGTCGGACACTGAGGACATTATATATGGGACGGCGTCAGTTTGTACGGGTATACAAACCGCATTCGTCAGCACAATGCAGAATTTTTCAAAGTCCTCCAAAGTAAACCTGCAAGCAGAAATATTAAACTCAAGTTATTCCGATTATATGTATGTGAGCTATGTTGTGCGCACCTTTGGTGGATGTGCTGGAAAATTGCCGGGAAAATTTGTATCAAAGCGGTTAAAAATGCCTGGCTGGGTACGTAGAATTCCTCCTGGGTGTCGTTGTTTTTCGTTGTGATCTTTGTGCTCTCAATGCCAATATTTAGCCAAATATTCCAAGCAATCTTTTCGAAAAAGAATAACGGGAGTTATTAGCAAATATGAAAATAAAGTGACACAACAACAATTCCCATGACAGTCGTGTCTAAGTAACCGGAACGGAACCGGTTTTTAACCGACCAAGGACCGTCAACACGGCACCATTCCTCGAAATTATTGCAGGAATGTTTTCTGCCGCTACAATAACAACAACACTTACCGTCCAAATTTCATCGTCTTTAACGCGTGTAGTCTCCTCGTCCGTGAGAGATGCGGCTTTATCCGCATTATGGTACATGATTTCTTGTAGCGACTTTAGCGCGGCCAAGGAGACTTCGCCATTTTTACTCAATGCAGCATTTTGGATGAATTCCAAAACTAGCGACCAAGCGCGATCGAAATCACCCAACATCTGCAATAGCTCACGCTTGGTGTTGAATACCTGAAATGAATAGGTGACTTAGAATTCGTTACAGATGCTCAAAACGCTATACATACCCTGCACACGCCGGAGAGCGTGAGCACTTGTGTCTCCGCCCACTGCTTTTGGGCAGTGTTACGCGAGTGGTGTATCAGTATATTGCCGCTGGCATCGACTTTCTCATTACTGGCCGAACTGGAGAGCGCACGCACATTATCCAACAGTGGGAATAAAACCTGCCAAACCAATGCTTGCCATGTGGGCGGATTCAGTAGGCTGCCGTGCGCCGAAATGGTTGAGAAGAGCGTTTGTCCAGCCGATTTGCGTACCGCAGGACGCAAGTCAACGCACAAATCACCCAATTTGGCATACAAACACATCCAGAGCTTATCGAATTGCGGCATTTTCACTGTGCCTGGAAAATCCGGCAATATAGCCACCTCCTCCACTTGGCTCGACATTAGTTTATCTTGATTTTGATTGAAGAAATCGGAAATGTTCCACTGCGTACGAAATATAATATTAAATGTTTGCGTATTAGATAAAACTTGCAAGGGACCCACCATCAAACCGATCGCTGTAAGCGAAATATTCAACTCTTGTGTTTGTGAACCAAACTTGGCGGCAGTTCGAATGCACAGTGGCAGGCAACGCCAAGGCATAACCGTTAAAAAGTCGGTGATCACCAACTGCAGACACTGGAATGCGGTGCGTATCAATGGCTCGCTGAAATTACGAGCAGTCATTGAAAAACTGAAATATTTTTGCATTTAAGGTTAATACACGCACCCGTGATGCTCATTCACTGCGCCAATAATCTCGATTATTGCCGGCCAACCGAAAGACAATATTTCGCCTGCGCCATTCAGTATCTGCAGCACACAGTCTAGCTGTCGCTGGCGTACATCTGCATGCATAACTGTCGAGAGCTCCGATAGTGGACTTAGCAACATCGTTTGCAGCTCCATGTTTTCCTTTAACGGTACGGTATGTTTAAACTGCAGCGCGGACTTAACCAAGTAGGTAATGGCTTCCACACCCCATTCGCGCATGCGTATGTGACGATGTTGGCAAACCTCCAGCAAGTGATTGGTAAGCGGACGCCAAAGAACCTCAATGCGTGGCATATTCACCAGGCCAGTTTCAAGTAGTTTAGCGACGGCAAATAAGGAGGGCTCCTGGTAATAGCCAAGTGTGGTATTGTTTTATATAAAACATGTAAATGAAATATTTGCTTACCCTATTGGCATAAGCGAGCTCCATGGCTTCATGCGAGAGCTTGCATAAAGCATCGATCAGGTGATGCAGCGCTATATCATTCAAACACTGACTGGATTCGAAGAGCTGACTCAGCATTTGTGACAGCACAGGCAAGTCGGCCATAACTGCCGTTTGTATGCCCACATTTGCTTCCACAGCGGGCTTTGGGAATGCCTAAGTTGTAAAGAAAAAACATATAAGCATGGTGTTCATCACTGAAAATACTCGAAATCACCCAAACTTGCACTCACTTGCAAACTGCCGCCTGTAGAGGGCTTCAAGCCCAAAATCCATACCAGATGTTGTAGCGTCTGCAGCACTATATGCCAAGATGTGCCGAGTATACTGCCGTTATTGCGCGCCAAGCACAAAATAGCACGCATACACTGCAGATTTTTATTGGTCAACATGACCGGCGCTTGCATTATGCTGTGCGGGAGCGATGCGCTAGGCAATGGCGTACCCACAGCCACGATTTGTTGTCGAAATTCACCCTCATTGCAAGTGTTCATGAACTGGTTGTTCAAATCTTGGCTATTGCTGCGCGCATGACCTGCGAATAAGAAATGCGTTAAGTGCGTTTTCATGCATTGCTAAATATATGTTAAGCTCTGTACTACCACGCAAATCTGCATCCATGTGCGCATTGTTGGCAAATATTGCAGCTGCATAGTGCGGTGGGAAAGAGGCACGGCACATGGATATTATGAAGGCGTCACGGGGGCCAAGCAGGTCCAGTAGACCACAGAGTGCTGCATAACTCTGCATTGCCTTAAGTATGTTATCCGTTGTGCCTTCGTCGATTGAGGCATCTATTAGTGGCACGAATGCGGAAAGTAAGCCATTCCAACTGGAGTTGATCAATTGTACGGAGAGCGGCTTGTGCTCCTCTTCTGTGATAATATCGGCATTGTGAATCGCTTGTTGCTGCAGACATGAAATGGGAAAATAAAAGTAATAATAAAACAATGTATTTTTCGTGTGGACAACAAACCAGTTCGGGTGTTCGTTGTATGACGCAGCCAATGGAGCTGGTTACGTCCAAAAGTATGGCGTAAGCCACAGAAACGCCATAACTGTCTGGTATGTTGGGTGCCTCCAACTTATCCAACATCTCCAAACTGTAAAAGAAAAGCAGAATTTGGTTATAATGAATTAGTTGCCGTAAATATTTATATATTACTAGACGGCTTTTGCCACACCAGGTGCAAAATTGGTGACTAGTGATAAGTAAACGCCACGAAACATGAAGCCGCATTGATTGACAGCATTATGCGCAGTTGTGGGATTATTTTGATTAGCAGCTGGCAGCTGTCCATTTTGCACTACGAAAAACGAGAAATTAAAAGGTATAACACTTTGCAGTTCTTTAATAACATATAGCACACGTACAAGCTGCCGCATTTATTAACGAATATCGCACGAACGTGCCCAACGCTGTGATCATGTCGTGTAAAATATTTGTGGCATGATTTTTCAAATCGTAGGATTTACAAAAGAAAGCGATTAAATTTGGTTTTGTGGCCAGTTTATGTATGACTTCCAATGCCAAGGCGCGTTGCCAGTGCGGTTTGTCAGGATCGAGAAATTTAATTATCAAGGAAAGGAAAATTTCACATTCCGTGACCTAAAAAGCGAATTTGATGGTTTACTTTAAATATTGTATGCAAAAGAAATTACTTATATAAAATTCTTAACCTACCAATATCGTGTGGTACTTCTGTATGAGTATTGCCACTAAACGCAATAAACGCATGCTGATGGGAAAATATGGTTTATCGTTAGGGACTGCTGTATTGCCGTTATTGGGCGTCGGTAGCTGGCGATGCTTTACATTTGGTGAGAATAGTTTAATTACTAATGCACAAACGCGTTCTTTCAGTAGCAAACGAAAGTCGTTATTCTAAATGTAAAGCATATGTCTGAATATACTAAATTGAAATAGTTTATTGCCAGAACATTTACCTCATGAAAAACTGCGCTGAAATTAGTTAATACTGCCTCGAGTAGTTCTAAGCCAAAAGTGCGTGTCATTTCAGTCATGCCGATAAGCCAATACGGTTGATCGGCATTTACTAGCTGCACGAGATCCTAAAATGGCTTTTTCGTTAAACAATGCAATAGTTATAATAGGTAAAACATTAACTTGAAATAGGAAAAATGCGTCCGCTGCAAAGGTCTGCATTTCAGCACTTGCTCCAGCACTGTTATCAGTGTCCAATGTTTCTTTATTTGCATTTTGATTTATTCCCTGCAGAGATGCCATAGAGTTTTTTTCCAAGTATACACGTTCAAAAACCAAAGAAACAAGTTGTCGTATGGTAGCACCTGCCGTGTTAACAATGGTGGAATTTTTGGTGTAATGTAGTCGAAAACATAGTACAAGCGATTTGGCTAATGTTTCGCCATGAACCACCGTGTTGGTAGTTAGCAAGAGCGTGACAGTTTGCAGGACCTTAACCTCTTCTATATTATTTTCCATAAGCATCCACAATGCATCGGTTATGTAGCGTGCACCCTTTTGATCAACCACCTGCTGGGTGATAAGCCGTTGCATCATGCCCAGACAATACTGTAATATACAACTTTAATGTTAGCAAAGGTAATCACATTTAAAGCAGGTATTGATAAGATAGTAGGCAATAGCCGCGGCAAACACATAGATATCTACGTGCATATATTTATAAGCAACCGTTAGGGGAAATGGCAAATGACTCACCTTAATAATTTTAAGGTCTTTGGTTTCGCATCCTTGCACAAGCGGATACAGAATTTGGTTTACCGTGTAGTAGACAGAAGTTTGTTGATTATTACTTGCTGCACTCAGTTTGGAAATAGCCTCTTCGCATGACTGAATAGACAGAAATTAAAMAAAAAAAGGATTAGGAATATGAATTAGTTTTCAATCAGAAATCACTGAAAACCTGAACATTATATTGTATTGTATGTGAAATCGTGCATTTTTATTTACTAATTATACCCCATTACTTTATATAATATATACATATGTATATATGTAGATAGATATTTGAAAAAAGCCAGTAATTGATGTGAACGAAAAAACAATGACAGCGTTCATATGTATGTATATCCACATAACTCCAGTGGGCAACACCACCCCCTACGCACGCCGCACCCAGTTGTGACACAACATTGTGCCCTTGTATGAATATTTTGCTTAATTAATTTAATGGGAACGTGTTATGTTTATTTTCTAACCTCCTTTATTAATGGATACTTCTTTTTAGTTTCCAGGGAAAGTGTTTTAAAGTCTGCACGCAAGGCCTCAACAAATTTATGCACCGACTCATTACCACCCGTCGAGGTGCGTACGAATGACATTTTCACGTCTTTTTATGTTTTAACAGTTCACAAATAAAATAATAGTTCTTTTCTGCTGCTTTTTACTCTCAGCATTACAACAAAATTGTTTTGTTTTATCTATAAAATTCCAAATACACTTTTCTTCCAACTGAAAACCCACGAAATTTGCCAGATACGTATTTTTTTCTGTTTGTATGGTTGTGTTGTTTTTGTCCAATTTGACAGCTGACGTGACAACATTCCGTTGAAGAGCCAGTGTAGTTGCTCACAAATGGCCAAAAGCAGGGTTACCAGTTCCATGTAATTATAAAATAAATATGTAAACAATACCGAAAGGCGGCCGTGATAATGAAGCAATAAACGTTTGTGTGTATGTGTGCAAGATAAATATTTATTTATAAATAAAACACACATTGATTTTTATTATTTTAATAATAATGCATTCTTTTTGTCACTATATAAATATATATAACTTAATATTTTTACAGGCAATATGACAATACAGCTAACATAAAATACGAAACCTTAACAAAATAAACTTTTATACAAAATAGCAGCATTAATTTTTCCGGAAGCTTAGTAAAGTGGGATATATTTTGTCCAGACACTCCAATATATCCTTACGTGCCTTCGCGCCGGTGAAGACAATTTTGCCATTCACAAATATTAAAAGCACCATACGTGGGTTAACCATGCGGTATATTAGACCGGGGAACAGTTCCGGTTCATATGAACTAAATTGACCATGCATTTGATTTAAATTTTCCAGCCGTATAGGGAATCTCAGATCTACAGTCGCTACGATATTTTGTAACTTAAAGTCTACAAACTTCACAGGATATCCCAACTTTTGAAGTATGCGTGCAAATTTTCTTGCCCCTAAACTTGCTTCAGTCTCATTGCGTGCTCCAGTGCAAATTATTTTACCAGTTCGAAAAATTAACGCTGTGCAGCGTGGCTCACGCATGCGCATTACAACACCATGAAAGCGGGAGGGAGTGTATTCGGAATTGCGTGTGCGAAAATTTATATCCTGCAGATTCAGTTCGCAACCCACAGAAACCGTAGCTACGACATTTCTGAAAAATTAGTGTAAAATATTTTAACTCACTTTTTTAAACGTATTTTGCTTAGGAATACTTACTGCAGTTTGACCTCATGCTGTACATCCTTCGGCTCAACGATGGGAGTTGTAGCAGGCTGCTGTGGTTGCAATGCGTTGTGAGGATTTTGCTACAATTTTGATAGATTATAAAATAAAATCTGCAGAATAATTAATTTATATACTTACTTTATTATTAGAGGTAGTTTGTAACAAATTTCGTAAAGCTGATTCGTTAGGCAAATCCATGGCAAGCTAACCGATATAAACAAAGTCAGCATGTCCGAAAATAAGCAAAACAGGAATGTAAAAATGCCAGCTGTTCAAACAGCTCTTCTTCTTCTTCAGTGCACAAAGCTATCATAGGGTTGCTAGTTTCATGAGACAATTTTTTACCAATATAAAATTTGAAACGGATGAATTAATGGAATTAGAATATGTAAATATATTTAATGAATCATATCTATATAGCAATGACACTTTTATTTTATATGTGAAATAACTGTAAAACATTTTTTTCATCCACGATATAAAATAATAAAAATCTGCTTAAATTTCTTACCACAAATGTATAATTAAATGTTTACTGAATTCTATTATTATTCTGAATGGCTTCATTCTTACTTCCTCACCTAAGAATTCTAATGTTTACAATATTTTGTTGTTATATATAATTTATTCACAGTTTTAATTAGTTTTGATATATTATAATAGATACAATAGAATGCAACCCTGTCGGGTCCAGTTGTTCTCCAAAACCAATTGGAGTTGCATTATAAGTTTGAGAATCATTGAGTGCTTCGGTTGTGAGCAGATGTGAGTGAATTTTCCGGAAAAAATAAAAGTACAAACAAAATATTTGGGTGTGCAAAATTTTCAAGTAAAAGTAATCAAAATTTCCTAGGCCGGTGGAAATTGGAATGTGAGTTTCTATTCAAACTGCTAAGAAGCACGTTGAAGTGAATATTCTGGAAACGCATACGAGATTCGAACAAAAACTATAAAAACCCAGCGGGCATAAATAAAAACGAAGAAGAATATACGAATGACTTGTGCGTGTAGTTTCAAAAAATTCCATTATCTTCAATTTTCATTGTTTATATGAAATGTTGCCTTAAATTTTCAGTAGAGAAATGAAAACTGCGACAGCAAATAGTGTAAAAAATAATTAAAAACAACGGAAAGAATTAATTGTTGTAAGTTGCAATAAAATTGAATCAACTTAATTGCAAGCAAAAAATATCTATTTCGCTCTAAAGAAGTGATTGTGTGATATCCAAACAAAGAAAACTAACTACATCATAGACTCCACAAAGCGAAGAATTGAACTGATTGAAGAGAACAGAAAAAAAAATTAACTAGAACAAAAAATCGCCGGTTAACAGTTCGTTTACGCATGCAGTTTCCTTGTAATAGAATTGAAGATAAAAAGCTAAATATTACTCATTACAAAATCTTGTACTAATTACTGTTAATATTATCAAATTTTTATATAAATAACCACTGTGTAACAGTTCCTTTTTTTGATAACATACTAAAGCTTTATACACATTCTTCGTGCATGCTTCCGGAATTGTTGCTACGCCTACATTTATTCCTTGATGACTTACTGAAATCAAAGAACGAACTTGTACAGATTGTCACCGATTTTACATTATTTTCCTTCGATCATCTACATCTGATAAAACTCATAGCTAAAATGTCAACGGCATTTCTTACCGCCATAGCGGTCATAATGTGCATCCTATTTCGTATACTAAACGTTAACAGTCAGCCGCTAAAACCAAGCGTTTGGTGTTTGGATCAACAGTTTCTGGATTGTATTTATAAAATTGCACCAGTACTAAGAGAACCGTAAGTACGCAGTCATTGTACAATATTCCTAAAACATTAAAGAAAAACTACCTAAACAAAATACGTAATTAACTACAAACGGGAAATTTACTTATGTTAGTTAAGTTATCAAAAAGCCCTCTTCAAAAGATAACATATTATATATTAAAATTTATTACACTACATTGAGTTTATTATTGAGTATGGATTAAACAATTCGACAATTCTAAGAATATGACAGGTACACTATAAATCAATGCATTTATTGCCTTTATCTAACTTTGTTGTTTGAATATTTCCTTACAGTCTTATTGGTCTGGCTTAGTTTTCTAATACTGGTAGACAAGTTTGTTTCTACTTTTTTGCATGAAATTAGACCCATAAACATTATATCGTTTGTGTTCCTAGCTTTCAAATGTATTAGCTAACTTACTACTTACTAACAGCTACCCGAATGAGATAACATATCTAGAAACTTATAGAGACATAAGTATTTTTTATTTTTCGAATGTAGATAAAGTTATAAGCACATATTTGTAAACGTAAATTCATAGTGAAATAATAATAAATAAATATTTAGGAAGTATTGTACATGTTTGTAATTATAACCACTATATGCTGTATATGTGTAACTATAGTACAGACATACATACATATATAATATGTGTAATGTTTACATATTCCTTATGCAAAACACGTACTTCGCATATGAAGTTTTAAAATTCTGACTAAATTAGACACCTGCCTGAACATATATGTATATTTAGATTTTATGTACTCTACCAGCAACTTATAATATTTATGTATGTATATATATATAAATTTATAATATTCAAATAACTCTTGTAGGTGTATTAAAAGAAGGAAAGAAATCTATAGTCGTGTAAAATCAATAATTTTCCATCATCTTTGTCCATAAAAGATTTTTGTTATGTTAATGTGGAGTTTAGCAAGTCGTAACCAAAAATAAATAAAAAGCAGCAGTGACTTTAGTCCCATATTTTAATAAAGAACATAATTATAATTTTAAAATATAAAAAATACTAGCTAAGATAAGCCAATTTTGGTAAATGAAATCAGTATAAATATTAACATTTTTTACATACATACAGGCATATGTAGGGATATGTACATATACATACATATGTACATCTTCAAATAAATTTAGTGTTTACAAACCGTCTTGTGTTTCCGCTATTCAGTTTCATTTAATAAAACGAAAACATCAAGAGGCTGGCGAATTTCCCTCTTATCATTTTTATTAGCAATTTAATTATGTTATTTTAAAGCCCCTAGGAACTATACACACCATAGCACCATTCGAACTTTCTTATTTAAAAATATCAAATCACATGAAATAATATCATAAATGACAATTCTAAAATTTATAATCAGTCGAAGTCGTCTTCAATAAACAAGAATTACAGGCTTTCAAGCTGCCAGCGGAATAAATGTATGTTTTTTGATTTATTGCTTGATTTCCAAAAGAGTCGAAAAAGTTTGCGCAAATAACAAATCATAGAGAACTATGCGTTATTGCTATTTTTTGCAGAAATTTTATGTGTTTGACAACAATTCTCACATGAACATGTTAGTATGTATGTACTTATGCACGCCAGCATGTCTGCTTCAAAACCTGTGATTGACTAGCAAAACGAACAAAACTATTTTAAACGGAGCACATTTTGTATTTAAATTGTTATTGCGAAAAGGCATTGTTGATCGCATGTGTAAAATGCATGAAAATATGTACATGTACATACATATATGTATATGACATAATACTTTAAATGCCGGCAAAACAAATCGTCAGTGGTATATGCATGAACTCATATACAAGTTGTTTTTTGTATATGTGGACGGACGTAAACATGTATATATTCATATGTAAGCTCACACGTCCACTCAAAACAAATCGAAAAGCTGATTTGTATTTAATAACAAAAGCTTGCATAACAGCAACACAACGCTTGCTCCCACTGGTGGCCATATTTGCAAACACTAATGAATGTTTTGGTTGAGAATTCATCAAAAATTGGATTTATAGCTATTCACGAAAACTATTATAGTTTATGGTTTTATTGCTTTAAAGATACAAAATAATTCAGCAAATCTAAGTCAATACTATTTCCTATTTGAAAAATTGTGTATTGCCCATAGGATGACTCATCCAACTGCTTACTACTTTTGATTATTATGTACATAGCCCCAGATATGTCTACCAAAAATCTCCCTTTTAAGTTTATAAATTTTTTTTATCTTTTCCCTAATTTAGACTTAACAAAGTGCATGTAAGAATAATGCTTATTTTTCTATTTCTATTACAATAACGTTTAATGCAATACGATTGGGTTGCCACGTCATTTGTGATGCTACTTTTGTGACTCATTTAAATGTGTGGGTTTTTTGTACTATCAGCCTTTTTTTTACTCCTCGTTTTTTCACAATATGTACATATGTATGTATGTTGTATACATATAGTATTATATTGTAAAATATAGCAATTTTAGACGAAAGCATTACATTTTTTTAATTACTAAATTTTTATGCCGAGTTCGATTATATAATTTATTATAAAATTTCTATGACACACTCAGCGCCTTTTTTTTGTTTTGCAGTTCTTAAGATAAGTGCTAATATTATATGTATATATATATAGAAAAGTAAGAAAGAACTAAATTTGGGTCTAACCGAACATTTCATAGTTTTGCTACTTGAAATGATTAAAGCCGGGAAAATAAATTTAGATGCATAAAGTTTATAAGCTATTTGAGGTCCAAGGATACAATGTTGTTAGGAAAACACACCCATAATTTTATAAAAAAAAAACAGATATTGGTATATGGGGACTAAAGAAATTACTGATCCGATCCAAGCCATTTTTTTACATAAAGGCATAATATTATTAGAAAAATATATATACATCTACCCCTCTCCTTAGCAACTTGTCAATGCCTCTCTCTGCCTATTCCTTCTTCCTTGTGAAGCTATTCCTTTATGGTATGGAGACCCATTGTGTACCAATCGATCGTACTATCCCTAAGCAGTAGCTCGAGAGTGGAATCATTCTATTCAGCTTTGCTGCCAAGGGTAACCTTGAACTTCTTGGTGAAGTTAACCCATATAGTAATGCTGTCCCTTAGGAGAAAGTCCGCTGGAACGAGATTACATTACCTTTGAACACGCTTCTGCAGTCATTTGTAGAAGTGTGTGCTTGGCTACCTGACCGATCACTAGATGAAGTGGAATGCAAGTCATTACAGCTTTGATAGTTCGAGCCCTACCGAAGACTTCGAAGCTTTTGAGGCCCAAACCACCGCCCATATGTGATTATGGGTCGCACGATCATGATGTACAACCACCAAACGATACTTGCCCTCTACTGGCATCCCCATATTTTAATTTAGTGTTTAGTTATGGCATTCATATGTTTTCGGTTAATGACGTCATCCTGATCATTTATATATACATAAATATCTAACTGCAACTAACTCGATTATGTTTAGGTGATACAAACAGTCCTTAGGTGGACAAACCTATTATACTTTGTAGCAACATGTTGGAAGTGTATAAAAATAGCAAATGGTTTCATATACCAAAATCTAGTTTTAAAATAAAACATTTCGTTTTTGTCTTGTTTTGATTTGATATTTCTTGTTTTAGATATTTTAGAAAATCTTTCTTCCTTTGTTTCTAAGTATGTTTATATATTTCTTCTTTGATAATTGCCAAGCTTTCCGTTTTGTACTTTGGACTCTTAGGCTGGTTTATATACATATGATATCATACAATGTATGTGTGTTGGAATGTATCCGCCATTCCCCATTTTTGTGATTGTGCAAATACTAAGAATTAGCATGCGAAAGACATGACCGCTGATAAGATATACTATTTATATGTACATATATATTGTCAGTAAAATAATACAGGCAAACTAACAACTAAATGTAGTAGGTATATCTACATATATATATATATATATATATATACGTTATCTATTCAAATATGTATGTATCTTTGAGGCTATAATAGTTATTGTCATGGAGACAATAGGCACACCTATACCCATATATACATATGTATATAAATGTAAATATCTACATATGTTTGTATATACACACATATATATAGTATATACATATAACTTGTGCCTACGTGGGATGAAAACCTGTTCTTTATTAAAATTTTCATTATCTCAATAATTGTCAATTAACGTACTTTACTACAAAAACAATATAATTATAGGTTACATGCATGAATATTGTCTAAAATTACTATAATTTCCATTAAAAAAAATTTTAAAGATGTATACCTATACAACACAGTAGCATGTTTCTTCTTAGCAGCGACAATAATAAGAATACTACGTATTATTTTCGCAAATTGTATTCACGCATGGAAACATACCAGCTGATCAAATTTGATTCGGACTGGCCAAAAACCATTATTTTCACTTATTTTAATACACATCTGTATTATCGGCTTCAACATTGAGCCAATAAAACAATTAGGGGGTCTTCTGGAGTTTCAGGCTCCCTGTCGCAGAACCGGCAATTTGCACAAAAAGATAGGCATATTTTATACAATTGTTTCTAAAGCTTTCAGTGGTCAGTGGTCAGTGTAGAGTTCGACAAGCAGCATGAGTTTGCCCCTAGGAAGGTTGATTACATATTTAAACCTGCTGAGGTTGCAATCCCCTATTAACAACTCGACAAGTCGCATGCCTTGGAGTTGTTGCCAATACCTCTATCTGCCTACTCCTTCTTCTTGCGGAGCAGCTCCTTATAACGGGCAAGTAATATTCCTTATCGATCATTTGCTATATGAGTTCACGGTGAACTATACCACGATAATTAAAGAAAATGATGGAGCACTATGGCCCCGGAGCGCAGTGTTATGACATGTCTATAGCTTCCTTGTCCGCGTTTCACATTGTTGCGGCGTGGCTAAGGACTGGCCGGCCGATTGCCTTATAGCGTTTTTTTGTCTTTTTCCCAAGTGCTGCCGGCTAGCGACTTAAGGATTCGGCTCTGTACTTTGTCAATAATCGCGGTCCTGTTAGGAGTGAAGAAGGATAGGCACCTAAAATTTTAGGGTTATTGACAGTCGGACGAGGTGATAGAAATTCTCTCTGGAGATTGTAGGAGTTTTGTGATGTAGAAGTTATAGGACTAAGAATCTTATCGGTTTGCTAGCATAGTATAAGTGGCCCAGTCCGAGGCAAAGTTGATCAAAGGTATAATATCTTTTAAGCCAGACAAACGTTCTTCTGGCGACTTTATACTAAATATCTAGCTTTGTTTTTAATCTCCCTCCGTGATTCCAGCAAAGCTACTTTAAACCATTAGATTATTCTTAGATTATCGTTTTAAAATACCCGTTCACTCAAAAGTAGCTTTAATTGTATTATGAAGGATGACTTTATGGGCTTTTTTATTGCGTCATCTAAAGTTCAGATTCGAAATATTTTTTTTGTAGTTCCGTTCATATTTAATATTCAACATTTAATCTATGGTATGTAACATTAATGATTTCTTCTAATATATATATGTTCTAATCTTATGTCCCCTGGTAGACATGTATATAAGTACGTCTGTATTTAGCTTTATTTGCGTTAATTTTTCAAGGCAATTATATTTTTAATATGTTAATGATTTTAAGATTTTCTCATGTTTGAATAACATATACATATACAGAAATTGAGACAATAATTGTATCACATATGTATGTACATATATATACAACCAAGGTCCTAATGACCGATTTTTCGAGAAATTTTACTTTAATATTATATTATTTTTTTGTAGTTGTGTACTTTCCGAGCATCATTTTGAATGATATTGGTCTCATCTACGTAGTATTTCATATCTAACTAGTTCTTCAATTCTTCAGATATTGATCTGTAATTTTACACACATTCATGTTGCTTATTTGTCGGAATCGCTCATACCGGACTTCCGTTCCCACGACAGTCGGGCTTAATAGGAACATACCCACTTAATAAATATTATTTTTCCAGGCATCGCTATAATCTCAGAAGAAATTGTTCAGATTGGGCAACTATAACATATTGCTGCCCTACAAAATAAACAGATCAAAATTAAGTAAACATATTTTTATAATCTTAATGATAAAAAACTGCACCTCGAAAGGGTACTATAGTTTCGGTGCCGCCGTAGATAACTTTTTTCTTCCTTTATTCATTCTTTCTTTGGTAGACTCGCTTTTCTCACATAATACTAAGCCAAAGTTTTTCTTCTACCCGCTCTCAGTGGAATAGGAACGGGTTGGTGCTACCGTCTCCTTGTGTGTTCTACTATTGGATAGCTGGGCTTCGCATAAACTTGGCTAGCGATGAGGCTAAGTCTAGTCTCTCTCTCTCTAATTGTGTGGAGCTTTCAACAGCTATATGGAAGAAGACGAGATGGAAACAGTTTAGCACTTATACATACAATACAGGAGTGCTATTTTTATGGCTTCACGACTGCATATAGTAGTACAAGGGCGGTCTCTGGATTAGCCCTCAAGCTTCACCTAACTTAACATTCACTTCTAGCTCACATGAGCAGCGACCGCAAGCTTCAAAATGTCCATTAAATTCGAAATTTGTTTCAAATCTATGTAGCTATTGATCCACTTCACTTAATGACATAATAATAAGAACAACGATTTCCATTGCACTACATTATATAACTAATGGTAATTGTAGAATTGGATTACACTGCCGCATCCTTTGACAGTACATTTCAGTAGTTTAGATGCAACTACGAGATTCAAAGTCAGCAACAAGGATGCGCACAAATATCGCAAATTATATAATTCAATACCATAACTTTAAGTGTATTGCACAAGGTTCAAGTTCAACGCTACAGCCAAACTGCAAGTTTAGAGAGAGAAGCCATTCAAGCAAAAAACAAAATGAATACCTGAAGTTTTAATGACACAATTCAGCAGCAATAAGATAATTTAAACGTTGAGGTCGCAAAGGAAGTATTCGAGTGGCAAAAAATGTTAATAATTCTATAAATGCTTTACAACAAATGGATATACACCTTCATATACATATATAGGTATTCACTTGTAATAACGGGTGATCCATTTCGACATTCACTACTTTTTTAAAGAAAAAACACAGAAACTTCAAATTTAATGGGGAATGTTTACTATCATTTGAAAGCACATTCTTTGACATTAATTTTCGAAGATAATATTTAAAATGCTGGGCGCGGCTAAATTTCAGATGGTCCATCCGTTGACACCAATTTCCGATGACTCGTTCGCTCATTTTGTCTAGTAACTGGCAAATGATACGCGTAATGTTTTGCTCTAAGGCCTGATTCGAAGCGGAATTGTCCGAATTTACTTACCCCCACAGGAAGAAATCGAATGGTGCGTATCACACGATCTTGGTGGCCAACCGAATCCTTTAATTAATGCGATGTGTGGCACGTAGCGACGTCTTGTTGAAACCAAATTTATTTATAAATTTTCATCAAACAGTCGATTATTATGGCGCGAATCGGTCGCCTTTGACAGTTAGGTTCTCATTTTTTAAGAATAATGGATCGATGATTCCAATGGCCCATAAACCACACCAAACCGTTGTTTTTTCTGAACGAAATGGCAGCTCTTGAATTTGTTTAGCTTGCTCTTCGTTACAAATGCTGCAATTTTGCTTGTTTACATACCCATTGAACCAGAAATGGGTTTCAAGGCTGAACAAAATTTGACTCGAAAATGTTGGGTCTTTTTGGAACTTTTCAAGAGCCCATAGAATGGGGGATGTCACTTCGGCAGGTCGGGGGTCTCTAGTTCTTGCACAAGCTGTATTTTATACGCTTTCAAATTAAGATCTCGACATAAATGTCGCCATGTCGTTCCATGCGTCCGAGTTACTGCGAATGGCGCCGAATCGACTCTCCCTGGTCTTCAACCTCGGCTACTATATTTTCTTTACTACGTGCTGGACGTGATCTATTCGTTCGAATAGACCGAAACAATAAATGATAGGGCTCCAGATGGGTGTTGATGACTGATTATATTGACCAAAGTTTAGCGAAGCGCTCGAAACACATTCTTTACAGAACGTACATTTTCGAAATAAAGTTGAACGATTTGTAAACGTTGTTCAGGCGTAAGTTTTTCCATGATGAAAAGCCAAACAATACTAAACAAAAATAACATGACAGCTTGACACGCCTCACGCCTGATCTGTCAAAAAGGCTATTGAAAAAAGAACATCTACTTGAATCACCCGTTATTATGTACAGAGCTTAAATGCACATTATCTCAATATGCGTGTCTCGTTATTGCTTCGTGCTAAATCGGATGGGATGTGCTGAAGACCTTCAAATAAACAATTTTCTGTAGGGCAAACCCACGCAAAGCAATCAATTTATTACCTATATGTAGTTTTCAACTCGGAAGAATATTTTAATGCTTTGAGAATATTTTTTAGAGCAAAAGTAATATATAATATTGTTCTCGGAAAAATATTTAAATTCTGTGATAATTTTTTAAGAAGAAAAGCACAGTCTTCAATTGAAACTAAAAATAATCTAATATTAAATGAACCAAGCACATGTCTGCACAAATATCCATCACATGTGGATTATTATCGCCCCCTTTCGACAAGATCAACGCTTGTGTATAGCCGGAAAACAATTTGCCAGAGCGGTGTCTCATCTACAAACAATTGCACTGCATTAACTCATTACATACCTACAAACATACATACAACTTGTAAGTGTAGTGCAAATGAAAATGACCGTAAATTGAATAAATTTGTGGAGGTCATGCTACAAGTCAGTAAATTCAACGTGATTCGACCGCCGCAAGAAGGCAAAAAGAGTAGCAATTTTGAATGTCACGTTTTACCACCGATAGTAGTGTTTTCAAAATACAAATTTTATAAGTCGGCTTCTATATATTCCCTTAAGGTGGGTATTTACTTTCTTCAATACTTCTGACTGTTTTTTTTTTTTTTATAAGAAAAGCCATTAACTTCGGTTGTACTAAAGCTGGAATGCTCTTCAAAAAAAAAAAAAAAAAAATTCCATACAAGAACTGCGTTCAGTCAGTTTGTATGACAGCTATATGCTATAGTAGTCCGATCTGAATAATTCCTTCGTAAATTGTCATATTGAAGATTGTACCGTTGTCTTAAAAAATAAGCCCTTCTAAATTTCATTAAAATACCTTGTAAAATTCAAAAATGTTTCCTACAAGGTCCTGAATTTGAACGACACGTTTGTATGATAGTTATATACTATAGTGGTCCGATCTGAACAATTTCTTCGGAGTTTGGTTCCCAAAAATGACCAGCTGCTTGGGGAGGAAGGAGTGTATGCCAAATTTCACATCAATATCTCAAAAACTGTGGTACTAGACGACATATGTAGGCAAAGATGGACGACCGGATATGACTAAATCGKCCCCGCTTTTCTTTCTTCTGGGTGTGACAAACTTAACCCAATCCTTCTAAAAATCAATACTTTTAAAATATACTCAACACTTTCTAATATAAAATAAAATAAATTAAATACTTTTTGTAATATGCTCCCCCGGTACCTGTCATCGATGAAATCAATCAATCGTTTTTGTTAAAGTTTTTCATAGCTATCATGGGAATATAGTCGGTAAAACGGCTGCATTCTCGAAAGTGTATCATTAACTATGAATTAACTTGGTGGTCTTTTAGTAACAGGCCGAACATATGGATTTGAATCCCACGACTTTTAGCCAGCAGCTAATGTGTGCTGATGTAACTAAAACAGTTCTCTCCAAACAAATTTAATTTCTGCAGCAATTATTTTCAAAAGAACCTGCTTACTTAGAAAATAGTTATAATTTTCTTTGTTTATTTTACAGTTATGTTCCCACGCGCTTATGGGGTTTTAGTGGTCACGTACAAACGGTGCTGCATAGCATAGTAGGCCGTGTGAAATGTCCTTGGCCATTGGGCGAACGTGTCTATCTGTTGCTACAGGATGGCTCTACACTTACCTATGATCTCTATCAACCGATAAACGAAGCGGAGGGTAAAAATAGAATACTTCTTATGAAATAAATTTTTTTTAAGTTTTTCCATGTTTCAGATGATGTCACCATCGCGATTTGTCCAGGCATTGGCAACACCTCGGAGAGTGTGTATATACGCACATTCGTACACTATTCACAAATGCATGGCTACAGATGTGCCGTACTTAACCACATTGGTGCATTGAATAGTGTACAAGTGACATCGACGCGCATCTTCAGCTATGGTAGGTGCTTAAAGTCAGGTCCTTCACATACTTAATAATTAATTCCCTTTACTTTTAAGGTCACACGGATGACTTTTCCGATATGGTTAACAATTTACATAAGAAATACCCAAATAGCCGTATTGTGGCTGTTGGTTTCAGTTTAGGTGGCAATCTTGTGACTAAATATATGGGAGAATTAGCAAAGTCAAAACCGAACACCATACTTGGTGGCATATCGATTTGTCAGGGGTACAACGCAGAGGAGTAAGTACGAGAATCTATTTGGCATAAGAGCGACGCGAGAGAGCGCGCGTTCTATCTATGTATATGCTGATCTGTTTGCCGATCAATTGTTTCTTGTAATTTGAAAATTAATAGCAATAAATTGACGATTCTCACTTGCAGAGGTACAAAGTGGCTTTTGAATTGGCAAAATTTCCGCCGCTTCTATTTGTATGTGATGACAGAGAATGTGAAGAGTATCATACTCAAGCATCGTCATGTGTTGCTGTCGGACGAAGTGAAAGCACGCCACAATCTAAACGAACGTGAGATTATCGCTGCCGCTACACTGCCAGAATTAGATGAAGCTTATACACGTCGTGTGCACAATTTCTCGACCACACAGGAGCTGTATAAGTGGAGTTCATCACTGCACTTTTTGGACAATATCGACAAACCAATGATTTTCATTAATGCTAAAGATGATCCACTAGTGCCGGAAGAGCTTCTGCCACCTATTAAAGAATTCGCAAGTGAGTATAAAAAAAAAAAAAACTTACACTAAATAAGCATCGATAGAAGAGACTGTAGGAACATGATCGAAACACTAACTGGTGGTTGCATACGTGCGCAGAATGGGGCTGATAGAACGATAAGACTGTAGGAAATGTTTAGAGCACGGCACCAGGGCAACAATGCAGTATCTCTTGTGCACTTGTCCCGCATGATGCTGTTGGCCTAGACGAAAACACAGGAGAAATGAATTACTTGAACTTAGCAAACATCTTGACGAAATCTTACTGTACAAGGACCTGGCACTTTCCCCTCCATTGTCTGGCCTTTACAATGCCGAGATCTTAGCTTCGGTAAACCAGAAGACGTAACCGAAACCATTAGCCACCTCAACATATTTGTCGTAGGCTCAAAGCGCTTTGTCATTTCAAAGATATAATTATCTATTCCTTAGGAGTTTAAGGCACCACAACTGAGCGGTGTTATAAGTTGTTCAAGTGACATTCCTTTTAAGATCGACCTTATAACCTAACCTTACCTAATTTGACAGCAAATATTTTTTCCATTTTATTGTTATATGAGACACCCTGTACGTTTTATTTATAGTTTTCTTTGCCATTAGTTTTGATACGGTTTGTATTTTAGTTTGCGCAGCTAACGGTAAAAAGCAGTCGTGGCCGAGCGGTTAAGGCGTCTGACTAGAAATCAGATTCCCTCTGGGAGCGTAGGTTCGAATCCTACCGACTGCGAAGACTTCATTTATTTTTTTTTTTAACTTTTTCTTTTGGACTTTTTTATTAAATATTAATTTGTTTGTATGTCTATTTTTCAATATTTAATCACTTTACAGCATCACGCCCCAATGTGGCATACATTGAATTGGCTCATGGTGGACATTTGGGATTCTATGAAGGCGGTTTAATCTACCCTAATCCAGTTACATGGCTGGATCGCACTGTAGTCGCCATGGTTGGCTCCATAGTAATGCTGCATATGGATGCTGTGTCCAGTGCACAAAAAGTTGGTTATGAATAGGTGAAACAACAACTTTCACACGCAAAAATAAGTGGAAATCACACTTAAAAAATAATATATTTGTATGCGAACGAGGAAGGGTCACAGTACAATTAAGTTCTCTAAGCATATACATACATACATTGTATGAACGTAGGAAAAATGCACAAACCATGAACATTTCCTTTGATAAATTTTGTAAAATTGAAATGTTTACTTTTGTTGAATTTTTAATTCGTATTTGTTCATGCAAACAAAAAATCGCATTCGCAAAGAAAAAATTAAAAATAATAAAACAAAATGTTGTTTTCTGCATTTGTTGTTTTTATATAATTGTGCAAATTTAAACGAACTTAAATGTATTTAAAAAAAAAATTATTCAAATACTTTGAATAAAAAAATTCCATTTTTCCTAAATATATTTCAGGTTAAATTAATTGTATGCATTGCCAAGCTGTTATTTATGTATGTCATATTTTATGTGTGTGTAAATTTTTAACATATGCGTATATAAATAATCTTCTTTATGCTATTTTGCCTATTCAGCCATAGAATTTTTCACTTTTATCTTTAAAGCCACTTACATATATAGATTGTTGACTATTTATTATTTTATATTTACACATAATAATTTTAGTACTTTTCAGATCATATTAGCAAGCAAACTGTTATTCCATAAATTAACGCTCAACTTTTTTAATGTACCGCTTGTATTACATTTTAAATTTGTTGTTGCACCGGATAAATATTTTAATATTTAACTTTGATGTTAATATTAAGTTAACTCTTTAATGAAGACAGTAACCATTATTCAAAATCTAAATTACTCAACAAAAATTAAAAATGTATAACTACCGGTCAAACAAAATTCGACTATTTGCTTTCAGCTGCATTTTAAAATTCGTTAAATGTTTAGTTTGGATACTTGCATTTCTATGATTCTTGATTAATTCCGGATTTTTATGATTTTCTTCACCGATAATAAT